TAAGCAGCTAGAACGACGGTCCGATGAGCACTGAAGGCTGCTCCGCACCCGCCGCCGCTACGGTCTCACCGATGGCGCTCTCTACAACGGGTGTCTCGTCGAACGCCACCACCGCTATAGTGACATCAGTTGCCACCTCTAACGCCGCCCCTGCGTCCTCCCGACCGGATGCCAGTCAGATGGACCTAGCAAGTCTCTTCGAGTGCCCGGTCTGCACAGACTTTGCCCTGCCGCCCATCCTCCAGTGTCAGAGTGGTCATATTGTCTGCGCCGCCTGTCGTGCCAAGCTTTCCTCCTGTCCCACTTGTCGCGGCACCCTAGGTGAGTGCTCCTGTTCGCCTGCTTTGCCCTCTCTCTCTCTCTCGTTGGAATATTTTATGTACGTCAAAGGTTCTCTCGGTTCCACGCCTCTCACCACTGAAGCCTTTTGTGAACCTTTATTTTACGGCTCATTTCTTGCGTGTGTTGCATTTTTTGCTTGGGTTTCCCCGATTCGAAAGAATCTGTGGTAATCTTCACCGAGTGCTAAGGCCGGTAATCGGGACACCCGTCCATTTTCTTACTTGCTAGAGGTGATTTAATACAGCTCGTTTATGGCTCTTAATCACATAAAGAGAAAGTGTAATTACCAACTGGGGGGAAGCTTTGTTTATCGTGATGAGGACCTCGGTGTTTACGCTCATGTTATGAAAGTTTGCCGTTCGAATTTTGTTCTGGTACCACTTAAGAGGTTAACTATTTGAGTCTGAACAGAATTGTCAATATCATAGTCCAAAACCCCAATTCCCTCAGGCATGTGGCCGGACCGCAAGTTTGCCGCTGAATTTACCTGTTTATGGGGTTGCCGACGTAATCTGCCGCAGATGAAAAATGTGGACTAACTTCACAAAAGCATTGACTTTTTCCGAAACATCTCGCATTAGATTTCTGATTTGATTGAAGAAGTAACGCGCCTGTAGGCGGATAGACCGAGTTATGTGCTGCTAACGAGTTATATTGCAGTGTATAGATGAAGTTCGTCTACTTTGTAAACGAAGACGGCTGTTGGACTAGCTTTTCAGACCCTTGTCCTCACGCTGTATACTGAAGCCGTAACTACTTTGTCTAAACACATGGCGATGCTGCACCATGACTATTGGGACATCTTCGTTTTAGAAAAGCCTTCTGAATTCTGAAAATTTTCCAATACTCGGAAACCGAATAATTTTAAAAGTCTCTGATGCTGGAGTTCATATAAGGAAACTCCGTCCTGGTCATTATTTCCAGAAGAAGCCAATTTCCCTGTAAAGTTCGAGTCTTAGCGATTTGAAATGTCTCTGGTATGGACTTAAAATCGTTATTTTTAAGTTTTGCTAGAATGCATGACCCATGACGCTTGTTCTCATAAGCGTCCTTGTACACTTTTTCCCACACATTTGCGGGGAATATTTTAAGAAATTGACTTTTTGCACTTCTTGGACTTTTATTACTTTCTGCTTAACAAGTTACCTGTTTCTTATCTCCCGTATCTTCGATTGCCATACTGCTTCCGGAAGTTCTATAATATTATTGTCTGGATTTTACTGGATACACACATGCCCACATTTCCTTTGGGACGAAACCGCAAAGTCAATGACCACAGCGTTCGCATAGTTTGAGGACCCCTACTCATTTTTACTCAGGAAACTTAATGTTACCGTTGTTCACCCCAGGCGCTTACTTGTTGCACAGTATCAGTGAGCCCGTCCATCCTGTCTGTTCGATTATAAGTGTGGCCATCGTTTGAACACCGAACAATAACTATTTGTAATGACGAAGCTAAATCGAGAAGCCTCCCACAATTTACACACCAATTTTCGACAACGTAATGGTCAGGGGCACGCTTTTTAGTCACATCGCCTTTTCCCGTCCGGATTTTTTGATCCCCACAACTGACGTGTCCTGCAACCCTGGTCCAGTGGTGGGGACGAATAGTACGCGAGCTGGACTACTCAGTCGGGGACGGACTCTTGGTATTAGATGCTGGAATGTGCGAACGTTCCTGGACCCCTTTACCCGAGATCTGACCGCGCGCAGCCTTACTTAGTACAACATGGATGTCTGCTGTCTGTCTGAAGTTCTACTTCCTGACTCAGGCCCTCGAGAAATAAAAATTTCTGGAGTCGAATCAGACTTCACCCTGTACCACAGCGCTCTGCTCGACTCATCTAGTAGACACGGCGTGGCTATCGCCCTCTCGCAAAAAACGGACTTCGTTTTACTTGCTTGGAAACCAGTCAATGACCGGATGGCCTACGTGCGACTGGAGGGCAACCTCACGAATACCTCTATCGTCTCTGTGTACGCACCAACTTCAGCTGCCGAACAGCGCGATAAAGAGACGTCTTACTCGCAGCTGCAAGCGTTAGCTGACAGACTCCCTCGCCGCGATCTGCCGATTGTTGCCGGGGATTAGAATAGTCGGTCTGGACCTGGCGACTCCACAAATACTTATCTTCTTGGCCACTTGAGGCTTGATTCCCGATGTGAAAATGGCGTGAGATAGCTGAACTTCGCTGATCAGAACCGACTGCTTGTCACCAACATGTGTTTCCGGCGTCGCAAAAGAAACGTCAGCTGTGGCCTGATATTAAAACGACGGTCATACGGCCAGTCAGCTCAAGGTTCCACAGCTGGGTTCACGATAGCAGATCGATGCGTGGTGCTGAGACTGGTAACGCCCAGGGGTCGGACCATGTCCTCGTTTGTACACGTGTAAAAGTCCACCTCTCATCCACGCCAAAAATGTCACATCCAAGACGCCTCGATGTCGCAAAAATCCGACAAACTGGCACTGTCGAGCCCTGAGCAGAGAAATCCAGTCCTGTTTTACGATCCGAGCCGACGGAGAAGGCAGTAACCAGTGGTCGTTATTAAAAACTTCAGTCTATGGGGCAGCTGAAAAAATCCTTGGATATACCCAGTGACGCCGCAGTGACTGGAACAGCGGAAGAACCCTGCGGTTGTCTGCTCAGACGGCTCGAGTCACGTCCTGTAATGATGATTCTTTCCGTCAACTTCCAAATCTGACGACAAAGTCGGCCAGGGATGAGCGGAAGCAATATTGGGCTGAAAAAGTGACCTCCATGGAACAGGCCTCAAACGTTGGTGACATACGAAAACTTATCCGCCCAGTTAGTGGTAAGCCCTCTTAACTGAGTGACTGTTCGCGACGTGAATGGCGACTTTATTACTGACAACCCGCCCACGTCGAACGCTGGCGTAAGCACTTCAAGCACCATCTCAACCTCGATACCCAACCCACCTCGCCCTTGCTCTTCCTGCAACGGAGTTTCTTCCCTCCAATCTATGCAGTGCCAGGCGACCCCCCTTCTGAAGGAGAGGTCGCCGATGCCATACGAAAGCTACACAACAATAAGGCACCCGGAGGGGAGGATATACCCGCTGAAATCTACAACTCTTGCATCGCCACTCTGGCGTCCTGGCCCCATTAGGTGATTGAGCAAGCTGGGAGAGACGGGGTTGCTCCTGATGACTGATGCTCAGGCATCTTTGTACCTATCCTCGAGAAGGAAGATAGGATGCGAGAGCTACTGCCCCCTCAACGCTGCTGCGAAGATCTTCGCTATTGTCCTACTCAGGCGATTCCAGGCTGTGCGTGACTCTAGGAAGAGGCCTAGCCAAACCGGATTTCGTGCTGGACGTGGATGCGCGGACAAGGTATTCACACTGAGGCGCATTCTCGAATTTCGCCATAGCTGCCAGCAACCGACGGCAGTCTGCCTTGTTGACTTTGCCGCCGCGTTCTACTCCGTCCATTGGGGATCACTGAGGCGGATAATGGCGCTAGATGGTGTACCGTTAAAAATAATCGTCATGATCAAGGCCTACTATCGCTCCACCACCGCGCGAGTCCTGGTCTACAACAATCTTTCCCAACCGTTTGGTATCCGATCTGGCCTTCGACAGGGTTGTATCCTATTTAACTACGCCATTGACTGGATTTTCGGAAGGGCCCTATACGAAGGTGACGGTGTTGAATTTGCATCCGAACACCGACTGACTGATCTCGACTATGCCGATAATATTGCCTTACTTACTCCAAGTTTTGGTGATCTGCAGTCTGTTGTGTCAAGGGTGAACGGAGTCGCTAAATCGGTCGATTTATCCATAAATGCTGGGAAGAATAAAGTGCTTTCAACGTGAATCCCTAACCCGGCGAAGGCACCTCGGGATTGATGGCAGTGAACTTGAAGAAGTAGACAGTTTTAAATACCCCGGGGCGAGGCTCTGCCGAATGGACAGGGTAAGGGCGACATTGTATCCCGAATGAATCCTGCCCGACGGGTTTCCTCAGGCCTTAGAAAATACCTATGGATCCGACGCGACCGCTTCGTCACTAAGATTCGCGTGTACCGTGCGTCTGTCCGGTCTGTTCTTCTCTATGTTTGTGAATGCTGGTCTGTGCGCGTGGAGGACGAGCGAAAACTGGAGGTATTTGACCGCCACTACTTGAAACCCATCCTTCGAGTGAAGTACATTAACTCCGTCTCAAATGAGACAGTCCGCGCTCGCTTCAACAGCATCGCAAGGATAACCCAGGCCATCCAAGAAAGACGACTGATCTGGTTTGGGCACGTTTATCGCCATCCACCTCTGGAGTCCTGTGTCACTGCCCTCGATTCAGCACTGTTACCCCATTGGAGGCGTCGAATAGGGGGTCAACCGAAAACGTGCCTCGACACAGTTTGTCACGACATGGAGGTGGTTCTTGGACCTTCGGTGTTTAGTCTCCGTCGTTGGCGAAGTGAATGGGTTGTACTGTCCAGATCTGCTGCCGCGGATCGTCACGCGTGGAGAGGCACAGTTCGCGACATCATCGAGGCCGGCCAGATCAAGCATGGTCGCAGCCGTACCATGTAAGCAAGTACAGTTTGACCGTCGATTTCGACGACGTCCATCGTGTGCCGCACAGCAGGGTGGACTCGGGGAGGGCCACCTGCACATTAACTAGTTTGTTATGATACCAGACTTACGAAGCGTCTACCGCACCCCCATCCTCCCTCACCTGGGCCCCGTGTCATGAAAGAGTCAGGATTACCGGAAACGGGAGAGGACGCAAGTAACTGGCACGTGCCACCGCACCGGCTCGGATCCCACTGAGTTGGAGTGCCATAGTAGTCACACTAAGGAGCCACTGCATTCCAACCCACAGTCCATGAATCGACCGCTCAACACACAACTGGTGTGACTGTGTGGTCTGAGTTGAAGCGTCAGTTGCAACCTTCCAAGCCACGGCTTTTGGCGCACCGTGATAAATTCAAACGCGTCAGATTTTAGTGAGAAATTATGTGCTAAGGGTTGATATCACTCAGCTCTATCTTGTACATCAGTCGACTGCCCGAGCCGGTTAGCTAACTGACGCTGAGGCCGTCTGGGCATTTCGAAGCGCAGATTCTACTGTGACGGTTGATCTGTCTTCTCTTCCACAGAGCTTTCCTGATTTGCACTTCCTTATGCGCAAGCCATGGTTGCCGCCGAGGACAAAAGCAGTCCTCCTATAGGTGTTAGCATCCAGTAGCCGATTCTGTCGAATCACTGTCTCGGACTTCACACCCATTTTGATGCCCTCGAACTGACTGAGCCGCCGAATAATATGGGTACGGCCAACATACTGTTTCCAGCCTGTGAATATTACGCGATTATTCCGCAGTAGCTGATGGACTCCAGCTTGAACATTCATTTATGAACTTTTTAAACGAGCCTAAAAAGCTTTGCTTTGAAGAATTTACTCCAAATTCGCACTTTAATTCCCTCAAAAGTTAGACATGGCTGTTTTCCCAACCACCTGTGTGAAAGTTGTTTGGTGCCGTAACCGTCATGAGGATCTAGGCGGATGGCGCCTGAGTATCATTGGTTAAATACTTCTAGTCGGCAGGTATCAAAGGATTCGATTTTCATTCGCACTTCAATTGTCTCTAGTCTCACCGAGGACGAATACGTTCCTACACTAGTTGTTTCACCTTTGGCCTTGTGTCTGCGATCATGTCTTCAGCGCGTGCAATCAGTCAACTGATGTCCTCAAACGATTTCGCGATTGTTTAGGTGCTTCTTTTTCTCAACCATGCGGTCTAAGCACTTTAACTGCTTTCGCTCTCTGCCGTTAATAAAATCGATTTTCACTTATCGCACACTTTGGGACTCAACCACCCATCGTCCTTTTCCACCGGTGAACCTGTGCTCCCCCACACTCGCCCCGGAGGCCATGCCTATTAATCGGTGGAATATCACCGGATCGTTTGTATGAAGTGTCGTCAGAGGTATTCGCGCCTCCCTGCTCGTTGCTTCTTTTCGAAACCGTCGGCCTACACCGCGCTTGAACTGGAGTTCAGTAATTTCTCGTGTCGGCACCTGCTTATATCAGATTTTTTCTAATATATTTAATTCGTGCATAACTGCCAGCAACAAGTCGATGGTGAGCTAAAAAGCATTACAGAAGCTAGCGCATCGCGATTTACAGACGGTGTCCGCGATTGCCCGTTTGGATCTGTTCCTCTACGGCTAACAAGGCTAGAGTTAATGGGACAATTGTTGGAGCATTAGACTGCGTCACCGCGATGCCAGTGGTCGCATACCTTACTGTACATCATACAATCTGAAAGGTAGCACTTGCCCGTGAACCTTGGTCATCAGTTTATTAATTCGTGTGTATGTTTGTGAGCGCGACTAGAGGTAGTAATCATTCCCAACTTGATCCGATGTGATCCATCAATGTGTGGGTATGGAGTTAAAAACCTCCTAATTCAAGTCCCCTTCTTTGCCGTGTATGCTGCTAGACATGGCAACACACCTTTAATTGCTTCTTTCAACTTTTGTGAATCACCTTTATACTCCCTTACTGTGCTGCCTGGACAAAATTTTTTTTAAACTATTAGTATTGATTAAGAGATACATGTCCGAATATCGGTCGATTTCCAACCGATCTGTAGCCCTATTCCATTTTTGCGCTTATTCGTCCTTTCCACAGAAAATATCCGCAACTTGGCACTAGAGAAATTGGCAGCCAGCGTGCTCTTTCCCTGCAAGTACTCCGTCACGGGCTGTACCGGAACTTTTCATCACTCGGCCAAGGCCGAACACGAGGCTGCTTGTGAATACAGGCGAGTTGACCTATTCAGTCTATCTGATGGTATTTGTGGAAGGCGTATGCCGTGCAGGCCGGGCTTTTTGCGTTTATTTTCCTCGCCTCCTCTGGCAGATCTCATCCTCTCTACCTATCTATAGTACGGATTAAATTGACCTAATCTCAGCGTATGAAGACATCCGACACCATTGCGCTGTAAGGATTCGCTCACGAAATATCACTTGGAATTGTCTGTACCAAGGTTTCACTCTTTTAGCAAAGGAAGGTTTGACCGCTGCAACGTTACCTTTACGAGTCCTAGTTTTTATTCACAATTAGCGGCACCCTTAGAGTCCGCTACAAGGACACGCAGAGTGCACAGTATACGATGAAGTTGCGAAGTCTTCGCATGTTTGTTGATTGACCTGTCCCGTCAGAACGGTTTATCTTCTAAACGTCATTGCTAGTGTCCGTCATTGGCTCTGTACCCACTCCCCGCACTAGACAACTGACTGGCCCGAACAGTGAATTAGTGTCCAGGAGCGGTAAGAGAGCGTTAGGCCGACGGGCTCTCCACCTTCACTACTAACAGCCTGAAGCGTTTGAATCTGTCACGGTGCGCCAAAATCCGTGGTCTGGAAGGTTGCAACTGACGCTTCAACTCAGACCACGCAGTCACACCAGTTGTGTGTTGAGCGGTCGATTCATGGACTGTGGGTTGGAATGCAGTGGCTCCTTAGTGTGACTACTATGGCACTCCAACTCAGTGGGATTCGAGCCGGTGCGGTAGCACTTGCCAGTTACTTGCGTCCTCTCCCGTTTCCGGTAATCTTAACTTCTCCGTGACACGTGGGGGAGGAGGGCAGCGCGGTAGACGCTTTGTAAGTCTGATATCATTACAAACTAATTCAGGTGCAGATGGCCGTCCCTGAGTCCACCCTGCTGTGCGACGCATGATGAACGTTGTCGAAATCGATGGTTGAACTGCCATTGGCACGGTCCTTTGCTCTGAACGATAATGTCACTAAGGTAGTTTCATAGTGTTGCATCTATCAGAGGGCTTCGATGCGCACGTTGGTCGACTTTAGACCGTAGAGCGGTGACCCAAACATTATGCACGTGGTTTTTACCTGCAAAATTTTGGTATAATCAAACTTTAGTGTATGCTTTGGTCGCGCCGAGTAAGCCTCGACTTGTGAGTTAGTCCCAGTGCCCATGTTGTAGATGTGTGTTTGCAAATCCCGTTCGGAGTGATCGTTGTGTGCGCCAGGCGAGGTATTATGCGTACTGGACAGATTTTCTTCCCTGACATGCATACTTACTGCTCTTCTAACTTTCGTCTGAGGGACCCGCAGCTTCTGATTTACATCAACTGCATGCAATCTGTTAAAGGCACGAATAGGACCAACCTCTGGCGTCTGTGTGCGCAGTGACGTTAGTACATACCCCCACATTAGAGGAAAGAAGGTAGGAAGGGTGAGTGCAATAATCATAGATAAAAAGACTAGGAGAGCTGATTGTGAGTATTATTCGGTTTTTTGGAATATGAATACCCAGACTGTCGAAACAGCGCTCGTCTTGCATAGGTAGTTGAACTGTAGGCCAAGCATCACGGGGTGCCCCGATATGCGTAGAAGTTAACGGATAACAGAATAAGGAACTGAAAATAGAGCATTTCTTATAGTTTTCTAATTTGTTTTGATAAAATTCGGCGAAGTAAGTGCAGCGTTACTGAAAATGAACTGGCGTTTTTCCATCGTGAAACTTGTATGCCACACGATAGAAGATGTTTCCGATTTATACGTGCCGTACACTCACTGCAGGAGTAAAAATTGTAGTGATGCAGAATATGGAGGGGACGGTCATCGTTTAAAAACGACACATTTTAAAAGGCATAACAAGTACAGTACGTGTGCTAACTCATTAAATTTTATCCGAAATTCTGAAACGCGTTTTTGACTTGGAAAGGCTACTTAGCTAGGATTGTACTATTAATTACCGCGCAGCATTAATCCCAAAGTACATCAATTACTTCAGGATGCCAGCTTTTGGACGAACTTCTTCCCAGTCGTCTGCAAAAACTGCACTTTAAAAATTACTACTTAAGCAGTATGAGTTTTCGCATTTATTTTCGATGCAACTATAAATTGGAATGTATTTCGCATAAGACGATACGAAAATATTCACTTTTTTATTCAATTGGTAGAAAATTACGTCTTCGTCCAATTTTATACTTAAAGGAAAAGTACAATCGAGTTTTTAAAAAGTTTCTAATTATGAGGTTTTTTGAGACCACGAAATGCCTGTTCTAGAACGTCGTGTCTGTATTTACTAATGTTTTTTGTAAAGTTCACAATATGGCTCAAATCCACTGCTGAATTTTTCGAACCCCGTATGGTCTCCTCTTAATAGCACATTGAAATGTATGATTTTCACCACTCGTAAAACATACAGATTGTAGTTTGTGTGCCCTAGGTGCAAGTGTAACGGCAGGTCGGGTTCAAAATTATTCGGGAATTGGAAAAGTTTTTTTAAAACCGAATTATATCCTTCCTTCAAGTATAAAATTGAGAGAAGGCGTAATTTTCTACCAACTGAGTAAAAGAGTGACTATTTTCATATTGTCATCCGCGAAATACATTCAGACTCATAGCGACATTGAAAATCAATGAGAAAACTCATGCTGCTTATGTAGTAATTTTTGCAGTGTACTTTTTGCAGGCGACTGGAACGAAGTTCTTTCAAAAGCTGGCAACTTGAAGTAATTGTATTACTCTGGGAATATGCTGTCTGGTAATTAATACTACAACCCTACCTAGATAATCATTTCGAGTCAAAAACGCATTTCAGAATTTCGGATAACATTTCATGAGTTAGCACATCTACTGTATGGAAACAGTGGTCTCAGTCTCTGGGCGGAAGCACTATTCAACAAAAGTGCGGCTTTCTTTCCGACGACAGTATAGACTGTTGACTCGGAAGACGTCCTTAGACTATCAGTGAACACAACCGTGTTTACCGTCCTAAATGGATAAATAGGCGACACGGCTTCTATATTCTCTGCCTGTCAAGACTGTCTCATTAAAACAGTTCCTGAAAGTTTTTACCGGTGCATTGTGCTTTTGGGGCAGACATTTTTTCCGCAGATAACTGTTTGAGTTCCATCATACATGGTTGCATGTCGCTGCAGACTGGACTTCCGCACAAAGGCCTGCTTCTGTCCAAATGAAAGTCATCCCCCCTCCCCTCCCCCCCCCCCCTTAAAAAATAATGCCTGTAAAGCGCTTTTCTAATAAGAGATCGGACAGCGACCTGCGGCCACCTTTCGCGGGCACTCCTAGGATATCGTTTTTGTCTCCGAAATTGCCTGTGTGACTGAACATATCACTTTCTATCGTGTTTTGCTGCACAATATTTCACAGCTTCCCAGAAGAGACTTTTTAGAGCTCGTAGTGTTTCTTTTTCTTTAGGATAACGTTGAGTTTTATCTGCCAAATTCTGCAAATCACTTGCTCCTTCGCTTAACTTTCGTTGCGCGTAGACTTGATCTACGATACCTCTTAGCATAAGGGATTGCTTGAATGTCAAGAATTGCCCATTTTCGCGATAGATGTCTCGTTTATCTCTATCAACTGCATTAAAGGGCTAGAAATTAAAAATCAATATGTCTGAGGTCCCTCTACTATCCATTCCGGCTTCCGTCATAACGCCCAGTGAATTTCGCTGCCTCTACATCTTTTTGCGAGTCCTATTCACGTTTTAATTGTCACCTTTCCTACTCTTTAATAGACCTTATAGTTGCCCATGTCCGGGTGCCTCGTGCAAGTGGCTGGGTCAACTGGATCAGGTGATGTCGCACCTGATGCAAAGTCATAAAAGCATCACCACACTTCAAGGTCAGCCTTTTTATAAAATTCTTTCAGACACTTGCTCTTTGCTTTATCCGGCAGCTTAGGCTGTCACGCTCGCCTAAAGAGATTGTTTCGGTATTCTCTCTAGCTCTTTTTCTGGGGATCCTCTTTTCTACTGAAGGTTTTGATTACCACCTACACTTTTATATTATTATCATTGTCTTTGAGGCACCTTTTAGAGTGTGTTTCGAGGGTTCGCAAAGGCAAAGCCTGTTTGCAGGTTTTTCGGAAAAAGTTGATCCTGCAGAGTATTGTACTTGAGAATCTCCGAACGTCACTACGCCAAAATGGCAAGCATCCTCGCAGATACCAGCCAGGTTAACGTGTATCTGTTTCTCCCTCCTTAAAAGAACATAGACGTATACTTCATTTTGTGAGCATGATGCATGTAGTGATTTTGCGGACTAAAGTCTAAACTTCTGACTGTTTTGTGGAGCAAACACCATGACCCGCACGCCCGATTTGATTTGTCGAGAGGAGCAATTTCTTGCTCCGCAAACACTCACGTCTTTCACAGCATATACACTATCCTTGAGTTTGTGCTTACACCTCTGATACTCAGGTCGAGTCCCAAAAACGGGCACTGTCAACTCGGACAAACCCTCAATAAACGTCCCTTTTTTCAGTACCAGCCACTGCGCCCAATCTCATCTGTGGTCAGCCTTAACCATTCTTTAGCCTATGGGAGAGGCGAGAAACGGTGAAGCGGACCGATCGCCATTAACTTTCAGACCACTTGAAGACGTGGACGCTGAGTTCATTTCTCCCCAAACTTATCTTTCGTCCCTCGCCGACCTTGTTTTACTTGGGACGGACATGAGTTGGTTAGGCGAGGGCGTGGTGAAAATACAAGTGCGGCAGCTGCATACGAGCACATGTTCTTCGCTCTAACCGGTCTGTGTCTGACTGCTTGCGCCCGCAAAACCCTAACGTCGTAGCGTTTTTTAGCTTGCCGTCGTGTGTGCGAAATGAATCTGTCGGTTGCAAACAATGCGCTCCATCGTACTTTAAATTACCACACTCTACGCTATATCGGTGGTTCCGTTTAATCATGCTAACAAACATCTACTGACGTCCTCAGGGTAGGCTTGTCACCTGAAGCGATCAAGCTGATAGCGGGCCTTCTTCATTTTTCCTCCTGCATGTTACTGTGTGTACAGTTAGGGACCTAACTCCTGAAATGTGTCGAAATTTACGAATGATTGCCAATCACTCGCATACCGACACCATTTCATGAGTCCAATGTCTATGTTATTTAAGTACAAGTTTGAAAGAATTAAAAACATAATAGAAGTATTAAAGGCAGTGTTGCGTTGTTTAGAAATGCCGATTTATTTTGAAAAGCGCAATATCCTGAAAATGACTCTAATTTAGTAAAGTTCGTTTTTAGATGTATAGGATGTATTCTCATATCAAAAACGTATTAAATATGAAAGTAGAAATAAAATAACGTCTTATAATAGTGTTTTAGTGAAGTTTACACCCAAATATCGTTTTATAATTAGTGTGATTTCATATATGACGGTTTGTCAACTGCCTACATTCTGAGTGTAGATTTAACAACAGTTTTCCGGGGTTTCATGTTATCCTTGACTCTTTTGAGTTAAATGAGAGAGCAATAGAAACTAGATTTTGCTTGATTTCACCGATGGGGACGTCGTAGTAGCAAAAGTTTTCATAAGGTGACATGCCATGAGACCGCTGGATGCCTAATAAATTTAAATAGAACTGACAGGCGTGATCGTAAACATACTATTTTGTGTTTACAAAGATAACTTTTCTTCCATTAAATTAATTTACACTTTTCGTTTTGGATTACGTCGAGTTTCAGATCGGCCTCGAAATGTTGCTGAATACTTCATGATTTTCAGTGTTTTCACCCAATCGTCCATAAAGACAGATTCTGAATTACCTGTCTGTTAAGAACTTTAAAATAAGATTATTCTTGAAGGCATTTACCGAATTAATGAGTGTTCGGGCGCTCCTTTTCATGAAGATGGTCGTTTGGGTCACATGTGAAGACTCATTCAAACATCAAACTTCATTTTGGAGAAAAATGGCTGTTCACAACGAAAGTCACCAATGAATATGCCTTCGATCAATAAGAAAACTTTCCTTAATAAGTTACCTCTTTAAGAAGTGCTTTATTACTGCACTCCACTGACGGATCTCTGGGTACTTTGCATTTCTGCACGGTGAGGCCAAGTAAAAATTTTACACTTTTGGCCGTTTCTTTCACGTTCCTAAACAATACTGATATTTTTCTACCGTGAACGTAAGAACATGCCTTTCTCCGTATATTGAGTCCATTTCCACTGTTTTTGTTTGCTTTTAGACTCCGTTCTTCGATTATAAATGCACGATAGAGCGCCCATATAAATACTGATATTTTGCTGAAACTATTAGTGTTTTGCTCGTTCTATTTCTGAATAATGTATGCACAGAAACTAAGCTACACGAAAAGTAGTGTTTCATATGTTTAAAACTGGAAATGACCATTTGGTGGTGGTCACTTATGTGACATCAGGTACAGTTTTTCAAACGACAAAACAATTTTAGCTCATTTAAACGAAGGAATCCCTATCTGCGTTATTACTGCACTTTAGGACACCAAATCGCCCAGATCTGCTAATTTGGCATTTAGGGACTTATAAAACCTCTGGTTTTCTTAAACTAACCGTTGTGTTAGGTTGATTACCACGGTTAACGTCGGACATAAAATAAATTTTCTAGTTCGGCTAAATCTGTTTATTAAAACTCGCGCTTTCAATGAAAAAGTCGCTCAGATGCGTAACCGGAGTCTAGGGCATGTATCAGCATAGGAAATTGCACGAATATATTGCAACGTCAATGTTCGCTAAAATTTACTGATATTTTACTTGATATAATTACGTAAACACAATTTCTGCACAAGAAAAGGACATTTTATTGAAGGAAGTGGATGAGCGAACAAAATGCGCAGCGTTAAAGACGTCCAGAAATTCTCTCATCAGTTTCCGTCATCAGATTTCATGAGATAGGTCACGTACTGTATATTTCCCGCCTCTTCCTCAAACGGCGCCTCCCTGTATGGCAAATGAGTATCGAATTACAGTTCGCGTTTAAATGTCTCAGCCTAGATGCCCCAACACAAGCTTGAGGGCTGCGGTTGATTTTGCCTTTCTCGCCTTTTTAACCGTTATATTCCAGATTTTATTTCCTTATCCACACTCATCATGCTCCTCTCCCCTCCCTCGCACGAAATGCTTTAGGTGAGGATATTGTGTTTCTAGCGACGGACATTACACTGCCGGGTGCCGTGGACTGGGTCATGATGCAGTCTTGTTTTGGCCATCACTTTATGCTGGTTCTGGAGAAACAGGACCGTGTGCCAGACCAGCTCTTCTTCGCTCTGGTTCTCCTTATTGGTACCAAGAAACAGGCGGACAATTTTGTGTACAGGTAGACTTCAGTGATGCGCATACCTCCCCTGTGCTGTAGCAGTTTTTTTTCGTTCGTCAGGACATACCACGTAAAAACAGCCAGTTTGATAGTAATGCCTCATTTGTTGCCTTTTGCTCCTGCTTCCCATCTAGCCCTAAAACATCTTAGTCCTTTCTCCCCTTGCTGCCTCTCCGTAACTCGTACTCATTGGGAGAGGGGGCTTCAGGAAGGACTGCACCACAGTCCGAGCTACGCCGTAAGGGGAGAAAATATTTGGATGAAGGAGTGAATGCGTAGAAGTAAAACCCCGGAGTAAATTTGGGTCACGGTTTAACCCTTTAATTCGGATCAGTTACCAGTCCTCCATACTGTTATCTCAGAGCTTTTTCAATCATACCATCTTCTTCAGCAGCACCTCTGCCCGATTCGTCTTCGTTTTGGTTAACTGTAGCTCCCACTTCGGGATGAGTTGTCTTTATTTCGATTGCTTTGAACCCCTCTGCCTTCCTCGCTCTGTCAGTTGCAAATAACAGGCAACTGTATAACTGACCTTCCTATTGTGAAAAAAATTCTAGACGTAATAAACAAGTCAGAATTTTATGCCAGATGGTCTTTAGGATTGGCCTGTGCCTTCCATAAAGCAGATAAAAACTTAGGTTCTCGGCAGTTCTTCCAGCCCGTACGGGGACGGGGGAAGCAGCCCAAAACGTCGCTATAAGCAGCGGAATGGCCGCAAACATAAACACAGGGGATGCACACTTCGCTTCATGATTAGGCTTAGAGTAATACTGGTACTCCCGTCTGAGGAAACCGCTGTTACTCACCCACCATTGTCGGGTCATTTTTCGTGCTTTTCAACTTCTGGGGTTCTGCTCTTTTCTTCCAACAACACCTTGTCTTGTCGAGGCTAGCGAGTTATTGCTCGTCCTTCGTTTTATCACTGGAATTCCCCACTCTTTGTGCACCTCCTTGCAGTGCTGGGTTGTTTGTCATTCACGAAGTGCGAAAATGCATAAGTATTGTTGACAGTAGTATTATTCCTGTTCGGAATAGTTTTTAGTGAAAGTGACGAAAACGCCAAGCCTCGTGTCAAATGGTCAAACTCCATTCGTATAAGTACATAATGCACGTCCATACAAGTAAATAAGCACATAAAGTAGCAGAAACATAGCATCGCGCATAAAAGCATCCTTAGGTACTCGTCGGACTAAATTTTCTCCAAGAATTAATGTAGAATGCAGTATAGCAGTCTATCGATCGTCTGGTGTTTAATAATGGATTTCAAAATGGTATTTCGAGATTTCGACGGGACTTTTTCGTTTTCACATTGCTCGAGGTGCGGTTAACTACGGCGAAGATGGTTTTGTTTGATTTCTTGAGTTGGACCGTTGCGCAAATACAGTCTTCGTACATGTTGCGAGACAAGGCAATGACCAAGCAGTTGGAATATAATTAGCACAAGCAAACCTAGGCATATCATTTCCTGTACATTAGGGTAATTCGGCTTTCTGCCCCCTAGGGCGGACTCTGCAGTCTATGGCTAACAAAGTAAAGCGAATCTTGAAAGCTTCCACGTACGTAGTGGATTACGAACGCTCTGTTGTGTAAATGTCGGTTTAGTTCATAGTTGTAGGCTCACCTAAGCGTGAAACCTGGTCGCCGACGAAAGTGCACGCCCTCTTGCAGAGAAACACGCACAAACGTGCAGATGTGGTTTAGGATAACTGTTCCATATGAAACTGTCTGCATCTTGTGAGGCGGGGGGTTTGTTTCCGCCCAAAAATGTTCACATTTTCGTTTAACAAACATTCTTGGAACATATTCTTCGCGAGAGAAAGGTCTTTGACATAGCACATGAATTAACAAGCGCACCGCGTCTCTACTACACCAGTCCGGCCGTTTGAATTTCGGTCGTCGTGTCTCTTTAGTTTTCGCGCCTACTGTAGAGATCTTTCATCTCAAAATATGAATTAATTTGACCACAATTGCCCAAAATCGGGTGGACGTTTTCCTTGTCTGCAACTCTCATAACTCCTATTCCATTGTGACAAAGCATCGAAAATGCTTTTTAAATTTGATTTATACATATCTTGTGGTTTGCTATCTCAAACTATTGACCGCCTTGACCGTGCAACTGGTTCAGCATCACTTTTGCTCGAACCGTAAAATTAGCATGGGCCGTTCGCATTTCTGAATACTCAGCTGTCGACTTAGAATTGAACTCCATTGCACCCTCACATTCGGCCGGTCCTTGCTATTTCTAATAGTCTCTCTCTGTGTGTGTTCATATTATTCCGTTTTACCGTGCTATTTTCCTTTAACCTCTCCCCCCACTTCTTCGCCAGACTCGACTTGACTGCCCCCACACGCCGACTTACCTGGGAGGCGACCCCACACAGCATTCATGACGGCGTTCAGGCGGCAATTACTATCTCAGACTGCCTCGTCTTTGACTCCAACACTGCGCAGTTATTTGCAGAAAACGGCAGCCTCGGTATTAATGTGACCATTTCCAAGGTTCGGGGTTCCTGGTGAGCGCTTGTTGACCCATTCGGAGCTTTCTTCCCCACTTTCCCACGTGCAGGCTGACTACTTCTCTCCTGGCACTCGACTCCTCTTATGTTTTCTACTAGTTATTGAACTGACGCGGAGGCGTTTGAGCCACCTCTAGCCTGCGCGGCTTCTGTTGACTCTTCCCTTCCTCCTCCTCCCCCCCCCCTCATAAATTTTCGGCTTTTGCCTCAAATTTACAACACCGTCTTACCACTCAACTTGCTATTGGCGCTGCCCTGATGGCAGCACAATCATACTGTAGTTTTTCTGATCCAGTTCATAAATTCATTATGTTTTCAAAATTCCGTTTTTGTTGTTTCTTATCGAATAACTTTCGCCAAGACAGTTATTCAAAGGCTAAGACTATCTGTAAGGAGTCGGGGACTGTTACTGGCAGGGACAAAGGGTACTGGGATAACCATTTCTGATTTATTTGCTGCGGCCACCGTTGATGCCGGCCATGCCCCTACCCGACGCCGAGGATCTTTCGCCCCTTTGGTTTTTGAGCGTTCAAACAAATGTTGCGGCGTTGAGTCGCGGGCGTACACTCCATCGCTCACAAATGCATAGTTTTCTTAGTTGTTTTAACTCAGTGTTTACCCACAACTCAATTCTGCAGCGTTTAGGTCATGGTCTTCTACCTTTAAACCAAATTAGCTATCTTATAACACTTAGATTAATTAAATGCAGGGGGCTCGGGGGCATGGTCGATGTACACGTTCGTCATTCACAAGCAGCGAAAACTACCAGTCTCGGAAAAGCTGCAGCGGCGAATTGCTCGTGAATCCGTCTTTAGTAAAACGGACTTTCTCCCCCATATCAACAGTCGGTCGCGTCAAGTCTGTTGGAGGTGAAGTTTAGAGCGGTAACTAACATTTCATGGAGTCTCCGTCTAGTGCCTACTACACAAATACCCGCTTATGTGGTCCATCACCAGCCATCACTAACGTAAGCAAACTTCATCTTATTATTGCTGCATGAGTGAATGAATTGTTGGTGGCTGTTCCCGTGCATATGTTTTGACTGCGCAGGCGCATGCGATGCGAAGACCGTGTGAGCGGGTAAGACTAACTGTCCAGCGTTGTCAGGCGCCACGCCCCAGCCCGCCTGCGATCGTCTTACCATCGGGGCCAGGTGGATGAGTGTGGTGGGTGCTGTGCAAGTCTGCCTCATTAATAAATTAGTTGACGTCCAAGTCGCCGTCCTGCATTCACTCCATGGGACAGACGATGGACGTCGTCCGCGACGGCTGAACGTGAACGTGGAACAGGTAGGGTAGGACCAACAGTAGGTTTGTGGCAGGCGGGGCAGCGATGTAGGTGATAGAAGGGGGCGGCTTGTGGAGACCTGGGCATCTCAGCTCCTACGTCTGCCTCACACCGGAATGACAGCCACTGCATGGGTAGGCTGGCCGGCTTGGTTCACCTGTTGTTAGAAGTTTCGTCGCCCCACGTTTGGTGATTATTGCTGTAAAAAGCACTGGTGCCGCTGCGCGTCCTAGTGGTGATCCCGTCCTGATCTGAGATATGTTCGAACAACGGGAACCTAAAAGTGCGGGCGGGTACAGTTAGTGACCGATCCCATGACATGTTGGCTGAAATCCTGAAATGCGTTTTCGATTAGGAAGGATTACCTAGGCGCGGTTGCAAAACTAATTAACTTGCGTCATAATCCTATAATATTTCCGACTCGGTAGGATGTCAGCTTTTAAATGCACGGCTTTTCAATCTCCTGTAGAAACCGTACCCGATAAAAAATGACTACTTAAGTAGCCTAAATTTTTCGCATTGATTTTCGATAGTTTTGCAAGTTTAAATATATTTTATAGAAACCTCGAACAAAAATACGTTTTCTTTTAGTCGTTCGATATGATAATCATGTCTTTCACATATTTTATACTCGAAGAAGGAGTATAATTAGGTTTCGGAAAAGTTTCTAACTGAGATTTTTTAAGACCGTACTATGTCCATTCATGCATCATCGTACCTGTACGTTTACCACTGCTCCTCATGGCATGTACAACATCTTCCGCATTCATTGCACAATTATATGGATTCTATATGGTATCTTTTAAGAGCATAGAGGAATATGTGATTTTCTTTAGGCGGAACGCATGCACCTTGTAGACTGAAATCACTAAGCGCTAATGCGACGACTGATCAGGTTCCACATTATTCGGGAATTTGAAAACTTTTTAAAACCTAGGTATGCTCCTTCTTCGAGTATACAATGTGAAAAAGACGTGATTCTCTATCGAACGACTGAAAGGAAGCATATTTTTGTTCGTGGTTTCTAGAAAATATATTTGAATTTGCAAGACCATCGAAAATCAATGCGAAAAATGTAGGCTACTTAAGTAGTCATTTTTTATCGGGCACGGTTTCTACAGGAGATTCAAAAGCTGACATCCTACCGAGTCGGAAATATTATAGGATTATGACGCAAGGTAATTAGTTTTGCAACCACGCCTAAGTAATCCTTCCTAATCGAAAACGCATTTCAGGATTTCAGCCAACATTTCATGGGATCGGTCACTCACTGTAGATGAGGCGTCCTCCTCGATAGTGGTCTTTTGTAGTGTGGCCAGATTGCCATTTCGATGGAAGCGATGTCATGTAACAAGGCAGTTAGGTAGCGCATTTGTCGAAAGTACGGTGAATCATTCCGCGCATATTCACTTTCATGTCGGTGTCAAGGCATTAACACACTGAATGGGTTAACTCGTCGAAAGCCTGGATTGCTTTATAGACTGGGGCTGCAGTCTTGTCGTAGACTGATATTCCTCGAGATTGTGCTTCCCAGGTACGCAAACAGGTTTACGACTCTGAGGCGGTTGCCTCTGGCATTTGGCGCAATTTGATGCATGAGACTCCTGTCTTTTCCGTGTGAACTTTCAATCCAAAGTTTTAATTTTCGGAGAGAAAGAGACCAAGGTTCCACTACAGGTCCGCTCCGATTGCGGTGTTCAGTCCGCAGTTCGAGAGTAGAATTCATCTATTATAGCCTTGGGTACTTATGTTTCTCCTGCT